AACTTATTCTGCATTCATATTTTATTATCAAAAATAATTAGGATTAGATTATTATATATTGTATCAAAAAACTGCCTTTATTTATTGCAATCACATATCTTTATTAAATTATCTTCTCATTCTGAAGCTAATAATTAACAATCAGAAGAAAACTCTATTGTCCAAATTCAATCAGTATGTCCATCAAGCTAACAATGCTATTTCTATGAGCTTATAGATCTCAAATAATTAATATTTTATCATTACATGATGTTCTCATCTATTAATAAGAGTATAGTATCATAATAGGTTTTGATCTTAATCTCAAATGAATCTTCTTATTTCTTATATTGAATTTACATTCTAAATAACGACTCGTCTCTTTATTCCATTTAATAATGACAAAGTGTATTTGCAAATTAGACTACCCTATAAATTTTCTAATTTCAATTCCTCCTTTAAATCCCAAACTTTTATTAATTAATTTTCACTTTCTGAAGCAAATAAATAATCCATCTGATGATTCTTAACAGTTAATTTTACTATATCTTCTCAATAATCTCATTCATTAAATTGCTTATTTGAAAACAAATTGATTTTTTTTACTACAAAAATAATCTAAATATGGAGTCAAAAAATTATTGTGGTGGATAGAATATATATTAAATATATTTGGAGATTAGAAGGATGTTAATTTATCAATTTTAAAATCTGAGAATGAATTTGATCATTTCTTAATTACAATAAAATTAAATATTAAATCAATAAATTTACTGTCTTTTTTATTAGTGTATTAAAATAGAGCATTTTAAATGTAAAATTATTTATCCTTAAAATAAAAGCTAATATAGATTTCTGTTTCTTACTTCATAGTAATACTATTAATAAAAAACAGAATAAATTTTGATATTCTCCTCCTCCTCTTAATATTTAACATTTATTTTAAGGAGAGTTCCCTTCACATTAAAGGTTAGAGATTTATAGCCTACTACTTTAATAAATCTTAGGATAATTAAATGAAATTGAAGAAAATTTAATTAGTAGATTGAATTGTGAAAGAAAAATTTTTAATTTCACCCAAATGATTCTATCACCTTGACTGAAATCAAAAGTTTAAAAATCAAATTAGTAACTTTTGATTATTATATTTATCAAATTTTCTTATTTAAGGGATAAGAATTATAAAAGAATAATTTTAAATACAGATACAATACGTTTATTCTTTTGAAGCTTTTCTTTTAAGATATAAAGGTTAAAAAATAAACTCTCTCAAAAGAGTATTTTTTGTGATAAGTTAATTTCATATTTAATTTACAATAAAAATAAGAATTCAATTTTTTTATGAATATCAATTAAAAATAAATGAAATGCAGTAAAAGATCTTAAACAAAATATTTAATAAGGCAAGAAAATAATTAAAAGCTTTAGAAATATATTTCTTCATAAATAATTATAATAAAATAGGGGGATTCTAATAATTAAAAATTTTTATTTATTAAAATTTACTATAAGAATAGTAAAATATAATTAAAAATTTTATGTGAATAACTTTTATATGATCATCAATTCATTTTCCCAAAAAGTATGTTCCTTTATATTAAATAATGGTCGCAAATCAAAACCTTAATATATATAGTAGATTTTAATTGAAATTAGACGTTTCAATAAATAAAAAGGTTGAATTGATCAGATAACTAGATAATTAAGTTGACAATAAAAAATTTTAGATAAAAGAACAATTTACAAACTATAAAAATTATTCTTCATACAGCGAAATAAAAATTATTACTATTATTTATTTTTATATTAAGTTTATTATTTAATATAGCCTATTACATAGAGATAAATAAAAAAAACATAAATTAAGTAATAAATAGAACAATAATTAGAATTATACAGATAAA